AATCTCCTGTACAAATTCCATTAAATGATCCTGGAATTGGTAGATCTATATGAGCTAAGCTTCCAGGCTGATGTGCATGTAAATAGCCACTAGAACACTGATAATAATCCATTAACAGAGTACTGTCAGTGTTAATTTTGCTTAATTAACATTTTAAACACTACTTAATGGACTAGCTAGTTAGGCTTTAATAACTAGCTGAATATAGCTAGCGTTAACATTTTGGATTATTGCATATATTAAGCGACGGTATAACTATAGGTTTTAATTCAAGTACTTGAGTTAATATATACTGCGCTTTCAAGTGCATGAACAGCCACTCTCATAACTGACTGGTGTTGTGCATGAAGAATCCCTGTATGCTTGATCTTGGTTTTGAGTGTTCATTTCTGTACAGAGAAATTCAGCTAATGGACTTTTGGTTAAAATTATTTACATGGACCTGTAATCATAGAATGGTTTGGGTTGAAAAGGACCTTAAAGATCATCAAGTCCCAACCCCCCTGCCAAGGGCAGGGACACCTCCCACTAAGACCAGGTTGCTCAAAGCCTCATCCAGCCTGGCCTTGAACACCTCCAGGGATGGGGCATCCACAGCTTCTCTGGGCAACCTGTTCCAGTGCCTCACCACCCTCACAGTGAAAACCTTCTTCCTAATGTCTAGTCTAAATCTACCCTCTTTCAGCCTAAAGCCGTTACCCCTCATGCTATCACTGCACTCCCTGATAGAGTGTTTCCCTGTAATCTTGATTGTGTCAAGTTTAGTGTGGGTAACTAATACCCATCCATTCCTTTAAAGTGACCAAAGAAATCAGGGTTTTGTTTTGTTTTTTCCCTGATGGCTTTAAAATGTTGATTTTCTCTCCACATTTAAAATCACAGATGATCAGCATTTAGAGCTTATGTGATAGTTCTTTTAGGAGAAATCTCTCAGTGCTGATCTCTAAGGATATTTCAGTATAAACACTGTTGGTGGGTCTGAAAGAGACACAAACTGTGAGGGTGACATAGTAGGGGAACCAGATGTAGCAGAGTTTGTGCCACTGCAGACTGTGGTACGGACAGGAAAACTAATCCTCCCTTGTCTGGGAAGATGCTGCTGTTGGCATTGCTTCAGCTGTGTAGCTTCTCTGCAAGGCTGTGTGTTGTGCCATGCAGAGCTGCTCTGGGTAACTGACCTTGGCACCTGGCCTCATACCTTTATTTCTTCTGTATTTTTTAATATGGTGTTACTGCTGTCTATAGTTCCGTCCTACTGTGTGCTGATCAGACAGTGTTTTGGATTACCGTTTTTAGGAGCAAAGATGAGCCTGTCGGAGGTCGGGGGGTGGGATGGGAGAAGGCTTTAAGAGCATTGTCATCTCACCAAAAATCTTCTGATCATGATGACCTAGATTGGTCAGGCAGTGCTGTTTTCACTCTTGTGGGTCTTGCTTCTGTTGCACTGTTCTCTGAAATAGCTCAGCTGCTGGTTTTTTCGCTTTAATATTCTCTGTCAAGGCAAAGATATTGATTGAATCAGTTCTTTTTGGAGTATGAGTAGGGATCATGTAGCTAAAACCTGAATAGGCCCAGCTGGGGGCTTAGTGCTTTTGCAAATACTGAATTCAGTGTATAATAATTTAGTCATTATCCTAGTAAGAAGATTACATTTGATATTAAAAACTTGTTCTGTGTGCATCAGGGCAGTAATATTTGACTTTCTGTGGGTTTGTGGGATTTTCTCTCTCCTGCAATATTAATCTTGTTATGTGTTCCTCCTGCAATTTCGGCTGCTCTGGAGAATGAAGTGACTAGTTCCGCAGGCATGAATTAACTTGTCTGCCCAACTGGCCACTCCCAGAATAGGTGTGCAGGTCATCTTTTCTTATTTTGCCTCAATGAACACCACTGAGCTGTTTATTTTTCTCAAAAAGGTGCAGGAATATGAATTGGGTAGTAGCTACCAAAGTTACTGGATGGCAATAGGCTTATGCAGTCATGACTTAGTAAATGTTGTCTGAGTTTCCTTAAGAAAGCAAGCTTAAAACTAATTGCAGAGTAGCTCTTTGCCTGCATCTGTGACTAAGCTGGGCTTAAGCTGGGCTTCAGCTGGGGAGTTAACATTGAGCTTAGGTCTCTGTTGTAATGTCTTACTGTTTGTATTGTAGCATTTTTTTTAGGAGCCGTGCTCTGAATTTCGGAAGAAAGAAAGTGGTACAAGTTATCCTTGTCTCCTGCTGATAAACTCAATTCCATGGGCTGGATATTCTTCACTCTTTGTTCTTTTTGAAGTCTGTTACTTTTTAGAAGTTTTGCAAATAGTTCAACAATATTATTTTATTGGAATGGTATATATTTTATTCTGTCTTGCTAGCAAGACAGAGGGACTTGGACTGTAATGTGATTCCTCGTAGAAGGGGCCAACTTGTGTAAGTAGTATCAGTTATCAATAGGTGTCTCTTGTTCATAGATGTGCATGATCACAGCTTGTAAGGATGAGCTGTTTGGGGGCAAAAGGTTTTAAAAGCTGGTGTTGGAGCTCAGACGCTTAAATGAGGTGTATTGCCTCGTTTGAGGCACATAGTCTGCCAGTGAGGGGGAGACATCTTTATTTCAGCCACTGCAAGCCTCCCCTGTTTCTAGAAACATGTATTCCCCTATGTTCCCCTTGATGCACTCAGGGGGAAGCTGCTTGAATTATTTAGGTATTTAATGAACAGTTTAACACTGGGATTTTCCAGAGAAGCTATTTTTGTCCCAAATAAATTTTTTTGTCCTTGCACCAAATTTTCTGCAGCAGATGAGCCTAGGCTTATATTCTACTCTGCCAAATTCAACATTTTGTTCAACAGTATCTTGAAAAATATTAATGCAGACAGAATTAGTTCAATAAAGTAATTTGTTGAACAAACAATAGAAATATTCTTCACTAGGAAAGTTGTTTGTGTGTGTGGAGGAAATAGTGCAATGCGTTGGTACTATAAAATCCTGATGCATCCTAAGCTAGTATTTGCTGTACATTTCCTGCTTACTAAACGTAGACGCCCCTGTTGTAGTTGCTTGCAGTTGTAGAACAGCCTCAAAGGATCATCTGGTCCAGCTTTTGTAGGAGAGGGAGCCTAGACAAGATGATCTAATACCCTGTCCAGTGGTGTCTTGAAAACCTCCAGTGACGGGGACTCTACCATGACCTTGGGGAGGTTGTTGCAGTGACTGATTGTATTCACTGTAAAAAATTTTTTTCTTATATCGAGATGAAACCTCTTCTGGAATCTGTGCCTTTGTACTCTTTGGGCTATAACGATACTGAGTGGAGGAGGAGGTGAAAAAGGACAATATAATATCTTTTACATACTGAAATAGTTATAATGAGAATCTACCTAGTTTCAATTTTTTAGCAAGACAAATTTAATAGTGAAGTTTGCTAACTTAAAAATTATTTTGGAGCATAGTGGAGTGAAAAATCTTCCATTCTCAGAAGAGAACGCAAGTGCAAAAGGAATACAAGGCAATTATTTAAATGACCCAGTTTGTGGGTCTGATTGAGACTGTAAAAACAGATAATCTGAGCCTTTTCTTGAGGGCTTTTCAGGAGGCTGCTGAGAGTGTTGTGGCAGTCTGTCTGCTCTTCCCTGCAAGCCCTGGGGCCTTCCTGGTAGCAGCAAACTGCTGGTGTTTTTGTTTGTCATATGACTAAACTTTTAACAACTCTTTCTGACACATGCCAGTCATACTGGATGATTGACATGCACTGGTCATGTGGCAGTGTAACTAGTCATGCTCTAATGTGACTGACTGGGTGTCTTTAACTTGGTGATTAACAGCTGTAGCTTTTGTTACATGGCGGAGGTGTCCCTGCATGTGTGCTGGGGGAGAAGCTGGGTTTTATCATCCTTCAGTATGTTTGTCAGAGGTGGCATGGTCTGTTGTTGCTCAGATAGGGCAGAGCTCGCTTGGTAATATTACCTTAGCTGAAAAATACGTGACCACCAAAATTGGCTGTTAACTGCTCTCTGGGATATTTTCTTCTAGGCAAAATAATTTATTAGTAAATTTGAAAAAACAAAACAAAAACAAAAACACCATCACATTTTGATTGTACTTTTCCTCTTCTGGCTTATGTTTACTTGTGAACCCTTGCCCTTCTTTCGCTTCCTGAATTGTCACTTTCTGCAAGTGGCGGATAATCGTGAAGGAGTAAAGTATGTTTGCCACTTGCCCCTGCTGAGGTAGTGCTGTCTGCTCCCTTTCCTTCTTCCCACAATTTTCTGTTTAAGAATTAAATACAGGTAAATTTTGTCCTGTTTTTTTTTTTCCTCATAATATTACAACGGTACAGCATTCCTATCCACTTTTGCTTTTGATATTTGGTAGCAATGATAATACGTGTACTGTGTCTTTGCTTTGTTCTTACGGTTTATAACTTTCACCTTGCATAAGTTAATTTTGCCAGCTAACAGAATTGTGTGATACATGAGTAGCTGCTAAATATGCAGTAATTTGAAACGTAAGCTTTAGGCTATTTTACCTATGTTAGTGCTCCAGTAATGTTTATGGCCCCAGTGAGGATTGTGGCCCAACTCTGCCAGAAGCTGAAAGTGTACCTAGATGGCAGTTGTGCTCAAATTTTTTTTCTGCAGTGTATTTGTTTAATCTCTGCAGCTGTGGAAGGGAGGATGTGACTGTTAAGTAAAAGCAGTCCTTGCATCTCATTTAGCTGAAATGAAATAAAATTCAAGAGAACAAATGAGCCTGAATCCAGTCTTTATATCCTCTGAATGGATAAATGATTACTTTTGACACAGCACTAATTTCAGTGTACAGTCATGCTGCCAAGATTGTTAGGGGACTCTGTAATGTGTTGCAGCCACTTAGTCTACGCTAGTGATGAGATGCATAGGATGAGTCATTTTCCATCATAACTTCTGATGATCTACACAGCCTAATTAAGTATTGAAATCTAGTAATGTAAAACTTTTTAAAGAATTTGTTTTATATCTGTCTCCCTGTCAGATACCATGCTTATGCGGAAGTGCCCCATGCCTGCTCTGCCGATGTTGCCCCAGTGGAAACAACTCCACTATAACTCGGCTGATTTATGCATTCTTCTTACTTCTTGGTGTGAGCGTTGCCTGTGTGATGTTAATACCAGGCATGGAAGAGCAGCTGAAGAAGGTAGGTTACTTCTTTGCTAACATGCTTGATAGAACGAATGTCACGTGTAATTGTAAACAACATCTTGAAAGCATGAGTTTTATTTGGAAATATGTAATTGTGCTGCCACCTGTGCTTCACACTCACCGTTAGTTTGATTGTAGGTCAAATAACCAAAGAACTCATGGGACAATCACTGCATAGGTGAAAAGCACTGTTTAGAAATAATGTTGCACCTCTTCTTTAGTAGCGCCGAGCAGAAAAAAGAAAATCTTGTATTAAACAAGAAAATATAATTTATATATGTGGAGTTTTATATTTTATTGAGATACTTATATTTGTGGCACTTGATTGATTTTGATTGCTGTTAATAAAAGAATGCAAAATAACTACAATCTAAGATGTCTTCTAGTTTCGTGGTGCTGTTAAAATTACTTAAAATTCCGTTTTAAGGTCTGCGAATGCATAACGAGAATATTTTTCACTGATGGTAGTAGCGTATTTTTCACTAAGGATATTAGGAAGTGCTGATAGGATTTTATGGTTTATTAGTTATATGAAGATACAATAGTGCATATAAAATTAGAGTGATAATTTGAGTTATAGGAGAGCTTATAGATTCCCTGGACTCAGGTTGCATGTGCTTTGGTTCAGTTGGTCTTCATTTTGCCATGTTTAATTGTTTTTTAGTAAATAGTAACTTCTGTTAGTCATGCTTCTGATTTTCTTCCCCCGAAATGATTCAACTGTAAATGTTTATTTCACTGTAGTATAATAACCACATTAGAGCTTCAGTGAGAGCCATTTTAGTCACCCAGGAAAGAAAATGGCAGCTTTCTGGAGTATGATTTGACTTCAGAAAGATGTTGCTTGTGTCCTGGTAGTGATTGGAAAGGATATTCTCAGCTGTTTCATATGGAAGTTGAAGATACTTCTAATCAGTAGTGTTGTTACTTTTTGAGGAGAGGCTGTTTCTGTTTTAAAGAGATGCAAGCGGGCTGCCTTTTCCTGTCTGTGTCATGAACTTGATGGTAACTGTCAAGTCAAATTTACCAAATCCCAGATCTTTTATTTGTCTCCTGATTCAGATCAACAAGTGAAAATTGCATTTCTTTGAGAAGTTCCGAAATTGCTAGTAACAAAAAAAAACCCCACTGTTAATAAGATTTACTTTTGGTTTTGTTTAGAATTTGCTTATGTGGGGTGTTTTTCCTTGAATGTGTTTAATATTCTGGTTGGACTGTAGCTAACAACACAGCCCTTCAGTATCATATTTTATAGCAATGTTAATAGTTGCATAATGTTACAGTATTAATATATTAATACCTTTCTAATACATAGTTACTCCCAGGGTCCTTTTACAGACCACTGAATGAGGTATCTTGTATTTATCACAGATTCCTGGATTTTGTGATGGAGGGATGGGAACAACTATTCCTGGTGTGCACGGCCATGTGAATTGCGATGTACTGGTTGGTTACAAAGCTGTGTACCGTGTGTGCTTTGGTATGGCCATGTTCTTCCTTCTCTTCTCCTTATTGATGATCAAAGTGAAGAGCAGCAACGACCCAAGAGCAGCGGTGCACAATGGGTAAGATACAGAAATGAGAACTGAGATGGGCAGTGTGCTGGATGCCTGTGAGATACAGCTACTGTGAAAATGAAGCCTGTCACTGAACACGCTGGCCACATTTACTGTTCCACAAACAATTTGATAGTAGCTAGAGAAGTTTTGTTGCAGTAGAGGGCATTCAGGCTGAGAGAGTTGGGGCTGTTTAGCCTGGAGAAGAGAAGGCTCTGGGGAGACCCTAAAGAGGCCTTCCAGTACTTACAGGGGACCTACAAGAGAGATGGGGAGGCACTCTGTCAGGGAGTGTAGTGACAGGATTGCAGGGTAACAGTTTTAAGCTGGAAGAGGGTGGGCTTTGATTAGATATTAGGAAGAAATTTTTTACTGTGAGGGTGGTGAGGCACTGGAACAGGTTGCCCAGGGAAGTTGTGGATGCCCCGTCCCTGGAGGTGTTCAAGGCCAGGCTGGATGAGGCTTTGAGCAACCTGGTCTAGTGGGAGGTGTCCCTGCCCATGGCAGGGGGCTTGGAACTAGGTGATCTTTAAGGTCCCTTCCAACTCTAATCATTCTATGATTCTATGTTTATTAGAGTTCTTAGACACAGCAGATTATTTTTTGTAAGAGGAAAAGATACATGTGGCTGGCACTTTTCAGAGCCTAAACTGTGAAAATGGATAATCTGTCCAGAGGTTTTACAATACTAGAGATTCTTCTTTTTTTTTGAAAGAACAAAATTCAGAGATAAATAATGTTACTAAGTTGCATTCCACTGAGACTTTTTCAACAAATTGAAAGATTTGTTGAAATCCCAAAAAAGCCTCATCTGTCCTCTAGGAATTACATTCCTCTTAACTTTGTTTGTAAGGGCTTGCTCTTTTAGAACAATTTCATTTTAAGGATTGTAACAGTTAATATATGCATCTATATAGCAGAGGGGGAGGGGATGTTTGCTTTGCTTACTTCTGTTTGTTTCAGTCTAAATAAAAAGAGGCTGGCTACAGTACTAAGATGTGTTAACAGCAGTAACTCAGTTCAGCCTTTCCTTCTGCCCTGCTTTGTTCAAGACAGCATACTTGTTACAAGCAAAAAGAAAATGTTTCAGGTACATTCTACATCAGCCCTTTGTGTTCTTTTACAATAAAAGACACCTTTTACATGATGTGGAATCTTTTTACCTAAAACTGCTTCTTAAGTGTTAGGGATCTTCTTGCTACCCGTAACTGAAGTTGTGCTCTCCAGTACAAATTTTGGTACTATTTATGCTACCCATAGAAGTTAACTCTTCTTAGCCAATCTGGTGTCAGCACTAGGATAAAAGGAAAAATTATACTTGTTAACTGTTAGTTGTGAGGTATTTAATAATGTGACTTCCAACACTTGTGTAATAACTAGTTGCTTCAATAGTATGCATTACAGGTAGCTTGATGAAAACTATGGCTTTTGATTTTTGAAATCGTAGGTATCTTCAGTAATACTTTGCAATGTGATCTTTCTGTCAGTGGCTTGAAATATTCAGAATATTAGCTTTTCTCATGTATGTGTACTAACTTTTTCATACTTGCATGCAAGTTAAGCCCAGTAGTGTGGTCCAGTGCCAATGTTTGGTTTTGTAACAGCAGTCAGGATGGTTTCTTGCCTCAGGTTAATAATAATAACAGAAAAAATCAGTTCTAATGTATTCACAGGATTGTTGCTGGCTTGCCCAGAATGCATAGCAACTGTAGGTGTTACGTCAGATGAGTATTGTTTTCAGCTGTCACGTTATGTGAGTTATGTCACGTTAAGATCCCTTAAAATGGAATTAGAGATGAAATTTATACAAACTTGAACTTCTTGTCATTTCTATAATTGACAATTACATTGATTAAAAAAAAAAAAAGTTCCACATGTGGATTGAAAAACTAGTTTTAGTGGGGTGTATATTACATGGTAAGTGTAATAAGTTAATTCAGCTTTCAGGCTGGGTTTAGTCACTTCTCTGTGTTACAGTGAACTAATAGTCTGCACTTCTGTCATCTCACATAGTTCCTCTCCACACAACTGGAATTCACTCCTCTGGTTACCATCACCTGGTTGAAACGTCCAGAAGGAGAGATTAAACTTGTTCAAAATATGGTAAAAAATCGGAAGGGATAGAAAACTTGAAAACCATGCAAGTGTTTGACATGGCAGGGTTGTGGTACATGTTTTTGTGCTGTGTTCAGTTTTGAAATACACAGAGATGTTACCATGCCTATATTTGGAGCTGCCTGTCACTGTGATTAGAAAAAATACTCTTCACCTTCTTGTAGTTTTGTTGGCATAACTTTTTCACTTGAAATTCCCTAGGCAGGGTGTGTTTGTACACTGTCTGTATTAGGGGTGAGTTTGGTGAATCTTTGGTGGAAGATACTTCCTTGTGTCCTGTCTGGGAAACATCTGATCTGTTTTGTTTGTCCATGAGTGCCTATCTTTTACCAATTATATTTAAAACAAGTTCAATTACTAATTCAATTAAAAAAAAAATCAATGCTACTGCACTGGAACGGTGACTTAGAATTTGATTGTGTCCTTTCTGTGAAGAATAAATGTTTTGCTTTTGTTATTGTGATAAATCCTCATCTGATGTAGGCCTAAAGACTCTGAAGTTAGGTGGGAAGAATCTAGGCTTTTGTACATCTCTTTCTTGCAGGAAATGAATCGAGACTGGTAGGGAACTCCAGCATAATGTTTTCTGTCATTGTAGGCACCAACCAGATCTTCTGCCTTTTTGTTTTTGATATTAAGAAGAGATAGGAATTTTTTTTTCTACCCAATTTTTTCTGATATGCAGGCAGTTCAATTATCTCACTGCTCTAGTTAAAAACCTTAAAAACCCACAAAATCAAGAAACTCCATCACAATTACATTCCACCTTAGCTTCATTTGTTATACATCAGTGAGGTAGCTCCGGCAAATGCGTCAAACTCTGTGTCAGTGTAGCACAGTTTAAGCGTAACTTTCTGGAGAACAAAAGTCTGGGGCAGATTAAAGAAAAGCAAGTTAAGAATGAGTGAATTAAAAACAGCTCTTAAGGATATACATTTTGTGTACATCTGAGTTTTTGTGAATTAGATTAGATTTCAGCAGTTGCCTGACTACTTTTTTATTCCCCTTTAGATTCTGGTTCTTTAAATTTGCAACAGCACTTGCAATTAGTGTTGGAGCTTTCTTCATACCAGAGGGATCGTTTACAACTGGTAAGGGAATATTGTCTTCCACTGTATCATGGTGCAATCATAACCGGATTCAAAACAAAGTGCATGATGATGTCTTAAAGTTTTTATTGTAGCTGTGTAACCATAGCACTTTTCTATGTTTAGGGACAGTAAGACAGGGTGGTAAATTGTCTATGCTTCTGAACTGGTTTTGTTTTCTTTCTCTTTTAGTGTGGTTTTATGTAGGTATGGCTGGAGCATTCTGCTTTATTCTTATTCAGCTGGTCTTGCTCATTGACTTTGCCCATTCCTGGAATGAATCTTGGGTTGAAAAAATGGAGGAAGGAAACTCAAGATGCTGGTATGCAGGTAAAGGACTGTACTACAATCAAGTTTTAAACTTCATTGTATGTTATGTTAAATAAGTTATTTACTGGGTAATGCATTTTACCAGAGTTCAGAAGGGCTGCTTTGTGCGTATCATTTTCTCAGCTGGTGTAGTTCAGCTCTGTTGTCTTCCTGTCCTGTTGATGTTATGTTAAGTGGAGGGGGGGCAGAGAGAGGGGCAGCAGCCCCTGGGAGCAGGGCATCAGTTTGTGGTAGCAGAGCAGTGGTAATTGTAGGGTTTGGGGGTTTTTTTTTCAGGCACAGGCTTTGTTACACCTTAGTGTCGATTGAAATTGAATGAGCCTGCTACATAAGCACCTCAAATAATTGCTTTTTCTTTCTGTCTGTGCCAGTCAGTCATTCTTCGAAGTTATATGCTGAAGGGAAAGGCCAAGATAGTGAAGGAGAGTACAAGTCATCTCACAGGAGAAACATGATGTTAATTTTAATAAAGCATTTCAGATGTGATGATTTAGGTATTTCAAAAGACAGCACAGCCTGTCTTCGTGCAATGGCCACTTCACTCTTTAATGTTTTTAATAAGATGGAAGTTGGAAAAAATTCTGTTTTTCCTTCTGTTGGAGAAGTAGTTCTTCAGTTTCTTTTTTAAGCTTTTAGCCCACAGTGTATGTAGTATAACTGCATTCCTTCATACTTGCTCTTCTTGGTTGCTGTTAGAGCACTGGAGAATCAAGTATGGCTTCAGTCTTCCCATTTAGTGTGCTCTTCCTTTTTAACACCTCAGGGTATTGGGATTAACTTATTTCCTTTCCATTTCAGTGCCCAGAGCTGCTCACTAATTCTGTCATTGTATACCGTGTCCAAAATCTGATAATCATGCAATATTATTTCAATTTCAATACTTTCCATTATTAGACAGTTTAACTCTGTTTTTGTCTCTTTTCACAGCTCTGCTGTCAGCTACAGCTGTCAATTATCTGATGTCTCTAGTAGCCATTGTCTTGTTTTATGTTTATTACACTCATCCAGAAGGTTGTTCTGAAAACAAGGCATTCATCACTGTTAATATGCTGCTGTGTATCGGTGCTTCTGTAATGTCAATTCTGCCGAAGATTCAGGTATAGTTTTAACTCTGTTATATTTTGGGTTTTTTCTGTATTATCAGTCCCAGAAACCTATGATATAATCACACCTGAAATATTTTAATTACCTAACTTTTCTATTTCATGACTTCTTCATATAGGAATCTCAGCCAAGATCTGGTTTGCTGCAGTCTTCTGTGATCACAATTTATACAATGTATTTGACTTGGTCAGCTATGACCAATGAACCAGGTAAGTGTTGTAGCAATATATGGCTTTTTGGGTAACTAGTTCAGTAGTAAGTTGTGTCTTCACCATTTTGCAAGGCAATATTAGAATTGGGGTACTAGAATGCATGCAAGATAGAGGCAGGACTCACTAGTTTGTGTATTCTTCTCTCACGCTTACTTTCTGTAATAATACTGAAGAAATAGTTCTTCCAAAGATAATGTGTTTTTCACTTGCTCTTATGTTTATTGTATGGAAGAATTTTACCCATTGTTGGCCGGATTGTAGTATTCTAAAGCTTAGATTTTGCAGATTACAACTCTTACAAGGTGTCTGGAAGGTTAATCTCCGTGCCAGATTTCAGGTTTCTTACTTGGTGACTGAGATGCTACTGATTAGATTTTTCCTAACTGAGGATTTAAAAAAATGTATTAATAGAAGTTTTCAGTGTTTCTTGTGCCTGAAAACAACTGAGTAGCTCTTAAAAAAAAAAAAAAAAAAATTCAGGCATTCTGGTGATTAAAAGAAACTAATAAACTGCCAAATATGGATTTTGGTGTTTTTAATTTGGTCTCTGGCCGTTTTATCTTAGTTATTGAAAATCTTCTCTGCTTCTGTGTAACAGCATAGATATGAGTCATAGCTAATTTCTGCAGTAGTTATGGGGAAATAAGACTGTCTGCTACTTCCAGCTGTTTCATCTGTGTTATGCTGTGTGTTGGGAGCTGTGAAAATATGAAGCTGATTTTGTAGCATTCTTTTCCGAGTCCGAGATGACTTTGGTACCCCACGTGTAGACTGTATGGTTGTCGAACTTGTTTTCTACTAGTAGAATTTCTAAAGCTTAATATGCAAAACATTTTTATTTTGTTGCATCTTAATTGCGTGAGATGGAACAGTAAAGCAGTTGATGCACATCTTGCATAAGTTTAAAATCCTTTATCTTGTCAAAAAGACAGATTTTTATGCTGCATACTGTCACTTGCCTGCTTTAGAGAGACTATAGACTAAAATTAGATTCAAAACTTTTTTTACTTCAATACTGTCATGGTCACAAAGTTCCTTTTTATTACCATGCATTGAGTGTGGAAATGTACTATAAAATATTTATTCTGTTCTTATTTTATGTAAGTTCTACTGCAATTTCCCCCACAGATAGGCGCTGTAACCCGAGTTTGCTGAACATCATTGGTTACAACAGCACCACCATTCCAACCCAAGGCCATGTAGTTCAGTGGTGGGATGCACAAGGAATTGTAGGACTGGTGGTGTTTTTGCTGTGTGTTCTCTATTCAAGGTAAGATTGCTTTGAAAAAAAATTCCTATTAACTTGTATTGCTAATCTTTGTCAGATACTAAACTGTATTTATTTGGGTGACTGTACTGTGTCCTCTCCTGTCAAATAAAGCATCCGAACATCCAACAACAGCCAAGTTAACAAGCTGATGCTGACCAGTGATGAATCCACACTGATAGAGGATGGAATGCCCAGGAGTGACGGCTCCCTTGATGATGGAGATGATGTTCACCGAGCCATAGATAATGAGAAGGATGGAGTTACTTACAGTTACTCCTTCTTTCATTTCATGCTTTTCCTGGCATCACTGTATATCATGATGACGCTTACCAACTGGTACAGGTATTTACATTTGATAATATATTGTGCTAATAATGAGCATACAAGGTGCTATCTTTTGCTGAACAAGGAGGCATAAGTTGAGTGCGCTATGAGGAATGTAGGTCCTGAATGGGACTTCTCAAGGGAAGCATACTGTTTCCTCTATATTAAACGAATTGTATTTGAATATTGGGAGTAGACAACCTTTTCCCAAGTGTGTTCTAGGATAATACTCATGATTCACTGGACTGTTCAAATATGTTCTCTTGAAGTGAACAGGATAGAGTCTTAAATTTTGTAACAACTACAAATAAGTAAACACCAGGCCTGTGTCTGGTACAGAGAGTTGGAAAAAGGAGAGGTAGAACATGTATCGGCAGGTCAAGGGAGGTGATCCTTCCAATCTCCTCAGCACTGGTGAGGCCACATGGAGTGCTGGGTGCAGTTCTGGGCTCTGCAGTATGACAGAGACATGCATGTACCGGAGCAAAGGGTCACAGAGATGATTAAGTGATTGGAGTACCTGTCATACGAGGAAAGGCTGAGGGAGCTGCGACTGTTCAGCCTGGAGAAGAGAAGGCTCAGGGAGATCTTATCAGTGTATATAAATACCTGAAGGGAGGATGTGAAGAGGACCAAGCCAGGGTCTTTTCAGTGATGCTGGTGACGGGACCAGAGTCAATGGGCACGAGCTGAAACACAGGAGGTTCCCTCTGAACATCAGGAAACACTTTTTTTAGTGCGAGGGTGACTGAGCACTGACACAGGTTGCCCAGGGAGGTTGTAGAGTCTCCGTCCTTGGAGATACTCAAAAGCCCTCTGGGCATAGTCCTAATTAGCTGGCTCTAGGTGTCCCTGCTTGAGCAGGGGATTGAACAAGATAACCCTCAGAGGTCCCTTCCAACCTCGGGCATTCTGGGATGGAGTCTGTAGTAGAAGGACATTGGGTTGTCTGTTCCTGGAAAAAATCCTCACAATACGATAGTCCTCCTGTGTGTGAATTGTTGTTCAGGTAGTCTTTCTGCTACGTACATTTGCTACTATTGCATTAACAGCTTGAGCAGATATTCTTCAGAATTTAAAAAAAAAAAAACTGGTCTCTAATATTTTGTTTAAGGACAATTTGTATCAGAATGGCAAAACTAGAAAGGTGTTTGCTTCAGAAATAACTCTTAATAGTCCTGCTGTGGATTTGATTTGTGGTATTGCTTGGGTCAGTATTACGTTAAGATTATTAATTTTCCAGGCGTTGTCTTTTTGCAAGGTACAATGCATTATTTGTCTCTAAATGCTATCCAGTTCCTGCCTTTCCACAGATTTGCATAGAGATTCCTTATAATTATTTCTGCTTCTTGATAGCTTCTCTTACTAAGTATTTTTTGGGCTGCTGTTGTTTCCCACCTTCCTGTGACACCAACTTAGAAATGGTGTTCTTGTACAGATGGGTGTGAACTGCCTGGAAGAAGGGTAAAGATATCCTTTGAGTTGTGGAGCTGGAGTAAAATGACCTACTGTGAAAGTAGTGTTGAAGAGTGGCTTACTACACAAGTACATCTTACTGAAACAAAAATTGCAAATTATATTTTTTCTTTTCCTTCTTTCACAGTCCCGATTCTTCTTATGAGACAATGACCAGCAAATGGCCGTCTGTCTGGGTGAAGATATCTTCCAGCTGGATTGGCATCGTGCTGTACGTGTGGACTCTGGTTGCTCCGCTGGTTCTTACAAACCGTGACTTTGACTAAGCTGTGCTGCTCTCTAGGGAGACTGTTAGCTTCACTGTGTCTTTGAAACAAACAGTAGTCCAGATAATAGTGCAGTTGTAAATATGTGTGTGCGCGCGTGTGCTCTCCATGTAGTATACCCTGCTTTATTCTGCATGATTACCTTGAATCATGTTTTTTGTCAGTTCACTAAATGATTTTTTCTATCTGAGCTCAGTGACAATTGCTATAAAGATGGTTTTTATAGGAGTAGTCCTGGATTGAATGCTTTGGGAGCTTTAGATGTAAGATCAAGACCTTCTGGAAGTAGGTTGTTTTTTTCCCTCAGTTGCATTAAATAGTTGTAGGAAAAAAGTGCAAGTGTTAAGTCAGGGTAACAAAACAGTATTAGATCAGGCTTTGCAAGCAAAGGAGGGCCTGCCTTTGATAATTCCTGTTGCCTTGATTCCAAAGTAAGACTTGAGTAAGTATTGTTAGACTCAAAATGGGGCTTGTTAAGAGTTTACTGGACATCTTGCAGCATTTTGGCACTAGCAGCCTGACCTTGTCCTGTAACGAGGGCAACAGTACCTTTAGCACAGATGTTAAGTAGGGAAACTTGACCTGAAGCTGCAGAGGAGCTGATGTCCTCCTCGGTGCTGTTGGGTCCGTGTGTCCCATTGCAGACAAGACGGACAACCTGAGGAAAACCATCCTGGTATCAGATGCTCAGAAGCATGTTTTTAAGACACCTGTTTACAATATGCATCTATGTATTTTTTTAAGTAGTTTAAATGGGATAGCTATGCTGTAATTTATTGCTGTTTTGTGTGCCACTTTTTCCTGGCTAAACTACAGTCACAGAGTTTGCAAGGAGCTGACTGGTGGAAACTGTGTAAAAGCCTTTTAGAGGAATTTAATATTGTGGTTAAAAAAGAAGTAGAGGAAAAGGAACGCTGAAATTGTAGTAACTAAAGAAGGCTTGCATTAACTGAGGCTTCAACAAGTGTTTCTTAATATATTTGGGACTCTAAATTTTGATCTTTTAGTGTATTAGCTATTTTGCTTGTTGTCCATTGCCAGAGATGGACTTGAGCCTAGAAAGTCAAAATCCAGGCATGAGGTAAGACATTAGTCTGATTAAAATACTGTATAGTTCCTGTGCACTTATGAAAAATTAAATGCTTTTGTGCTTGCTGCTTTATAACTGAAGTACATAAGCTGCATTATTTATCTGTTACTTGCTACAACTTGAGACTAGAGCAGCCTGATGGGGAGTGATGCTAGAGCCTTCAGCAGATGTCATGCTGATCTGTTACCATGGTGTTTATACTGTTGCTTCCTGTTGCTAATTATTCCCCAAGCTTTCTTAGGGAATTCTGCACCTAAACCCTGACATGTCAGTCAGACTTGAGAGGGTAATGGAAGGATTGGTAAAGGCTTGTAATAATTTGGAGTATGTTATTACCTTATTAATAAATAAATTTGGATGAAGATATCGTGATTTTTTTGGTGTCTTGTACTACTAGTGCCACAGGTGGATAGTGTACGGTTTTGTGCTCTATTTTCATGTTCTGTTCCTGGGATGTTTTACAGCAGTTGGCACTGGAGAAGCAACAGCTGACGGTGCTGTGAAGTACACCTGTAAGGCAGTTAGTTCCTCCTCTTGAGGAGATCACACATGTCACTCTCTGTGAAGTTTTCTGACAGTTTTCTTTGTGCCCTTTGCATCCACCTCTCTGAAAACACACCCATGCTTCACATTTGTAACTGCATTCCTGGTTCATCAGCTGCTGCTTTGCATTAATACCAATTTTAATACAGCAGTTCACGAGTCATGTAACAAATAACTAGTCACTGAATTAGGAAGATGAACAGACAGATGCATCTCTCAATTTCTCATTTGAAAAAAACCAAAAAAGGATAGTTTGAGTGCAGTGCCAGAGCTGTGGAAGGTGTTTTTTCCTGTTGCATGGCTTAAGTTATTAAAAATCCAGTTTCTCCCTTTATGGGAACATCTTACACATTGGAGCTTCTCAGAACTCCCTCTACAGCGAGGGAAAAAAACTTTTCAGTCAAAGATTAACTTACTGTTTGTATTTAATCACGAGGTCAGGGTGAGATATTTAGTTAAAAGTGTGTCAACTGCACCTTCACATAGTGGTGTAGTAACCCCTCTGTCATTCAGCTGTGTAATACAATCACTCTGTTCACTTGCATAGATACAGAAGCCTGCCGTAAGAGCAACAATGGAAACACACCTTTTGAGTAGGGGCAGATAGAGCTCTTCCACTTCAAAGAAAGCTACAGGGCTCTACCCTAGTTTTCTGTAAGAAAACAAAGGAGAAAGCATTCTTTGTGTACTAAAGGAAAACAGTTTACTGCATTAGCCACTTGTTTTGGAGACTTATAAACATTGAAGTTTGGAGATCATGAAACTATTTTCCAATAAAAGTGCATGGAAGCAGACCTCATTGCACAGCTATTAAGGCATGAAAAACACACTGATGAATCCACATCCACTTGGCACAGAGGGGAGGAGACCACTCTCAGCAAATATCACACTTAAGTAACATTTATTTATCAGAGTAGATGGTCCAAGTTAAAAGTACTCATGCAGTCAAGGGGCCTGGTGGCTGTAAAGAACTTTTCCCCAGTTTGTGCTATATGTGAGCACTTCCACTGAAGTGAAAGTAAGGCAGAACCAAGATTAACAAGGTACAGGCACTTTGTTCCCAGTTCAAACAGGGAAAAAAAAAGCCTACATCAGGTCCTGGTCCCCCCACCCCCCCAAAAAGCCTCCTTGTTGTTAAACAAAATATTGTAAAAAATAGAAAAAACCCAAGATACAGAAAGTCAGTGCTCCCTAACCATACACTACTAGTTTACATCATCATATGTAAGACCAAAAGTATAAGAAATCATAAATCAAGCTTACTATTAACAAGTGTTCAGTTACCTGGCCTATTTAGCGATATGTATAATACCAAGTATTTGACAGCAGTACAGTAACAGTCTGACCGGGTATTGCCAACCATGTCTAACAGCTTGTCTAACCACAGTTAAACGACTGCTTGTAGGAAGTAACATAGGAAAGGTATTTTAGATTCCACATAATCTGGTTACATAAAACTGTGATTTACAAAAAACTCTCATACCAAATATTCTAAATAAATAGTTCGTCTCCATGACTATATACAGAGTCCCCATTACATCAGTTATCCAAGAAGGGCATGTCTGTGTCCATAGGTGCTGGGGCAAGTTCACATAGATAGAAGAGCGTGGCTTGACTTGCTTCTGCCTCTGTCAGCGGCTCCAGCCGCACGAGTTTGCTCTGGGTGGGCTCAGGATCCAGGCTGCTCTCCAGGAGCTCGTCCACTTCCAGGGGTTTGTCAACAGAGGAAGGAGTTTCAGCTTCGGAGCTCCCGCTCTCAACAGTGGAGCCTGGGTTCCCATCAAGGAATGCAAGGAGTGGAAACACAGTGTAGTGTATGAGTTGCTTATCTAAGGGAAAGAAAAATTCCCAAAACATTTATCAGTTCACATGCCTTTCTACATGCAGAAGAAAACAACAAAAATCCACCCCACATAATTTATTCAAAGAATAATTAATATAAAACATTATAGCTGTTTTAAATGAGTGATTAATAATTGTTACATTCATGCATAGCACTATTTGTTCAGATTCTCCTGCAAAAACATGTATTTCTTTGCATCGGGTGCAGTGCCAAAAACCTAAAAAGCATGTATAGTAAGTATTCTGTTTTGGTTATTTGCTTATCAGCATGACACAAAAACAAAGAGCAAATAACCAAGATGGTTTTTAGAACAATGCTTCACCTGTTTCAACAAAACACTCCCAACGAACCTGATTTGGACTTAGAAACTTGTGTTTCCTGTGAAGCCACTGGAACAGCATTATTCTTGGTAGTTTCTATTCCCTTTGACTCCATCTGGAAAAGAAAGCAAAATCTTAAATACGTGCTTAAAGCCTTTTCCAATGCCACTAGAGCACAGCTGACCAACTATTAAAAAAAATAAACTTTTATTTGCGAAGGGATGTAGTGGTATCAGTTACCCATACTAACAGACCTTGGCCAAGAAAATGTGAAATGGCAACACAGGTTTACTCAAGCAAGAACCAAAACCAATGCCCATAAATGAAAGAACAAATTCAAAGAGCTAGATCTTTGCTCTACTGCTTATTCTTGTTTCTTTCCCCACCAAACAATACAGAGGAAAACATTCTGACAAAGCATGTACTGTGTCTGTAAGTACTAAAATCTTAGAGGATATAAAAGAGACTGGTACATTGTACCATTCACCTCAAGGTAATATGAGTTTTAAAGGACATTATTAATTAGTGTGCTTTTCCCTTTTCTGTTTAAAATCTAACAGGGTGAATTCAGCTGCAGCCTTCCTATTCTAATGGAAGTCTTGAAAGCCAGATGATGAAAGAAGTGCTATTATACCAGTAAAGAAAACAGTAAAGGATGAATAAAGTTAGCGTCTCTCACTACTGAGTACATTGAGCAATACACTTAAGACTTACTTTGGTATTAGAGATATGATCTGTGGGATTCATCTGCACGGAGCTTGTAAAAAGCTGAATAAGACAAAACACATCAAGTTTTAAGTATCTCGATGTTGCTGTTAAGAATACAAGAATGTCACAGCAGCATGTGTGAGAATAATCCCTGCACTTAATGTTTTCACCCGCTATCAGGATTAGAGTCTATTTACAGGTAGTTACCACTTCTGCAAAGAAACCTAGCTCTGGAGCATAATGGTTCGGAATTCCCTGAGCCCCAGTCACAAAGGAAGCAACTGTATTATGTCTAACTTAGACTAACCTTGTTTGCTGCAGTCTTAAAATAACAATTCCTTCTTATGTTGCTGCATGGAGAATTCTGTGTGCAATAAGGAAGAATACACCCTGATGAAGTTTGCAAGTGACACCGAACTGGAAGGCGTCAACAATATGTGGGAGAGCAAAACTGCCATTAAGAGGGATCTCACAGCAAGGTGGAAGAGGGGCCAGCAGACACTCCATGAAGTTCAACGGCCAAATGCATTTAGGACCCAATAACCTCACGCACTGGCCTGGGTTAGGGACCAAACAGACTGGGAGCTGCTCCGCAGAAGGGACCTGGGAGCTATTGCAGACAACACCCTACACCTTGAGCCAGCCGCAGAGCCTTGCTACAGGGAGACACACTCTGCTACAGGCAGAGGTCAGGGGAGCAATCCTTTCTCCCTGCACATCACCTGAGGCCGCTTGTAGAAGAGTGCCCAGTTTTAAGCCTCCCCGTATGAGAGTCTTCAAACTAGAGGGCATCTGGAGGGCCACAGATGGTTGGGGGCATAGGACATACAAGAGGCTG